GGTGATCGTTTCAAAGAAGCGAAACGTTGTAATTAATTTTCGGTTACATGAGAAAGTATTTTTCGTTCATTCAGATGATTTGATATAGCTTCAAAAATAAAACAGAAAATTGGAAAAACTTTATTTTCCAAAATGCCATGTGTGCGATACACATGGCCCCTAATTGCGCAGCTGTTTCATTACTTTGTCTGTCTTATGGGTTCGGAAATCCATGTGTAATACATCCTTATCTTGGTCCACCCTGTATAGTGGTCTTAAGCTTAAATTGAAATTGTTTGAATTAAAACAATGTGGCCTCCTGTATTATCAAAAAGGTTTAGTTTAGAGCAACTTTATTGCAATTCTTTCCTCCATGTGTTCTGACGCTTACACATGCTAAGTAGTGATTTGTCATGGGACACCATGTATAAACTGAATCTAAACTAAAGTGGTAACCAAATTGCTTCCCTCAACTATCAGATGGTTTATAAATCAAACAATACAAAAGGTGGTGAAAAAACGGCAGCTACCTATTTAATTCAGTAAACACTATGAAGTGTTTGTCAACAGAAGGGTCTTGAAAGGCCCGAATTGTGCATATCACAGATGGAAATATCCCATTTATATGTAAATTTCATATTTGTCACCTTGCCGAGGAAAAACTTCGATCCTTTTCTCGAGTTTACATATTTCCCAGGAGCGATGTAGCTAGAGTTTTTCTTATTACTGCGCTTAAACGACAATTCGTGTTTTTGTGATAGGCCCGGCAACAGGATAACTAATTATTTGACATTTTTCTCTGTGTCTCGGGTCTCGCACTGAAACCGTTTTTATATCGGCTTGAGTAATGGTAGCTTTTTGTTTTATTCCTTTTTGTCATAATAATTTGTCGCGACAAGAAGAAACTTGTTACTGAACAATGGAGGTCGTTATTTGTGAATAATCGTATTGCCTTTTGAATGTAGATGCATTTCCTTCTATAATTTGTAAGTTGCTATTTGCCGGCAATAGTTCGTCGAGATGAGTGAATAATTCAAGAACGTCTATATCTTCGATGCTCATTAAAAATATATTAAGTGAAGAAACGAAGCATACAAACAGACATTTACTGAGAACTGAACACTCCGGGAGCACTCAATTCCGTTGAAGCGCGAAATCTTAAATTCATGTTAGATGTGCAACTAATTGCCAATTCAAAAATGAAACAAAATACGGAAATCTCGTTCATTAATTCTTATCGACTACGATAACAGTAAACAGTGTGGCAGCAAAGTAACCAATGCTTCAAAGGAAAATTTATTGGGCAGAAGCAATATCATATTTATTCACGGTTTGAGAGAGATGTGGTTTTGCTAGTTAAATGTTTAAAGTAAGTAAGAGCCTTGTAAATAAGATCGTAGTCAAACACTAACAATATTGGATCGCCTCCATTTTAACCATGTGCGACTCTCAAAAGTTAATGCCTTTTCCAAAAATTAATGATTTCGACTTGACGTACATGTTATGGCTTTGGCCGCACGGTAATTTGCTTATACCTTTCAAAACCCGAATAGGACCTTAAGTCGTGTTTTATTTAATTTTTAAATAACACTCGAGGATGCCAACAACTTACCCGAGTTGAAAGTGAAAAGTATGGTACAACAGTGGATAGTTGTTGGCAAGGACGGGGTGTCCCAACGATGAAGTAAAGTGAGTTTACGCTTAACCGGTGCTAATTGGAGACAATAATTCAAGCAAATATGAGGTTTCAAGACAGCCAAGACCTAAAAAAAGCTAATGTTCCCAATTATGGGGTAAGTTGTTTCAAAGGTTTTGCTTTCCCAAATAATTTGTTTCTTTAAAAACTAGTGAATGTTTAACGCTTTGTAAATTATGGTTTTTGTACCACATATTTTCTGAAGGAACAACGTGCATTTTTACATCATTCTAGAGAGAATGAAATAGCATTTTTTTAAAGTGAACAATTGATAAAGAAATGTTGGCAGCCTTCTAAAAAGAAGTTTTAGATTTGGGTGTTTTTGTAGTTGCAAAGTCGACTTAAACATGACGCTACTTTTTTCGACGTTTCTCAAGCCCCATTCGAGTATTTTTAACCCATAAATTTAAAAAAAAGCGAAATTTGAATATCATACATTGAGCAGCCTTCAAGTCAGGGGTGGTCATATAGTAGAAATTCAGTCTTTTGTTGTCTATGAAATTAGAAAAATTATCGTTAGTCGACATAAACCCAGCAGAAGGGGAGAGTCATGACCCCCATGACCCCTCCTGGATCCGCCTTTGGATTAGTCTTAGTTTTGCATATTTGTGCAGGGTGAGTTAAAATTCCAAAGAGCCATTTTATTCGGTATTACTGGCAGAATAAAGGACAATGTGGACAAAATCAATTGATTTCCGTTGGATATGAAGATTCTTTTGAAAATCAGCGCCCCACTTCACTATCAAACAATATTTAACAGTAGTTGAATAATAATTAAAAGAAGCAAACAAGTCAAATATGGTAACATTTGATGAAACTCAGGCAAAACTTATATTTCAAGAAAAAAATATGAAAAAGCTCGACAAAGATAGATCCGTGCATGTAATTGGTGAGAAGTATTTTTAGGAATCTTGTTGAAGAGTGTGAATCATTGAAGCCTTATTTGTATACTGGAGGCATTGATCATAAGTAAAGATGAAAACCGTACTTAGTTTGATAAAAAAAAGCACTAATACCAACTATAGAAAATGAAAAAATTGCACAGCCTTTCGCTGCTCTCGTTGAATCACACTGTACTTTTTCCATCAATACAAAAAAAGTCCGGTTTTACAGTGCATCCTGTCCCTAAGGATGCACTGTAAAATTTCTAAATGTAGACAGTTGAAATAAATAACATAATGTCATTAAGATCCACAATATGTATTGTTTATCAAAAAATATTTAATTATAATATTCTTTTTGACGTTCTTCATAATGAACATCGGCACGTCTTTTCAGCAAATACGTGAGCTGGCAAATCGAAAAAAATGTTCTTGCTCCGATAGCCCGATTTAAGCAACTCCAAGGATCATAAATATAAACCGGCAAATTCCCTCATAAGTTAATTTTGACACGCTACATAAACCAAAATAGAAAATACTACCAAAATTATCCCCGATAAGACGCGGTTCCTGTAAAAAGGCGAAGTCTGCCAAGCTAAGCTAGGCTGATCCCATCTAAGAGGGATGAACGTGATCCCATTATGCTCCTTTAGAAAGCCGATCCCCTGCGAAGACGACACCAGGCACCATGCCTTCGTTTTAACGACTCTTCTACAGAGATATTAAGATCCTTTGTCATCAAACTCGGGCCTATCGACACCACTTGACATGTGTAAACTTGAGGCTCAACTTAAAAATTTGTTATCGCTTTATTATCAGTTCATTATTGCTTGGTAAAGACGAATTGGCGCACTGACGATTTACATTTAAAGCACCTGCAAACAGTTTCTATACATTTATTTCTGTGTGGGCGCTGCTGATTAGTTTTTCAATCGTTCGTATCGCAACAAAAACCCATCGAATTTCGGGGGTTCCTTTCTGTCTATTCGAAAATAAGCGAAATATTGTACAAACCCCGATTTTCTCCGTCTCTTGTATCAAAATCTGACACGTAATTTCCTCTGCTACCCCAAATTCTAAATAAACGATGCGTCTCTCGCTCGCTAGCCTTTAAAATTTTGAATATGAAATAGCCGCCGAAAAGACAATGGATTGGAATCTATGTAAATCTTATTCGTTTATCTGTCTATTTTAGCAAATGTGTATTATATTTTATAGTGGCAGGTCCACATGATGAATTAATGCCACGTTACAAATTCGCCTTGGTGTACAAATACAACTTCGGGTCTTAAGTCGATAGATCAGTAAGGCAAACAAAAAAAGAAAATTTGATTTTATACGTAAACTGAACTAATTTGTTACGGAGGTCGCAACTGCTTCTCTTGCTAGGTTTCTAAAATATTTGTCGTAGATCTATAAAAGATAAATTTACTTATTTGACTATTCTTCGATAATTTTAGTTAATAGATTTTCCCAACATCTTAATTTCTCATCTAAAGCTTCATTTAAATATAAGCACCAAATGCAATTCAGACTTGTACATAATAATAAAAATGTGGTATCGCCTTGTCAGTCATAATAAATAATAAAAAATGTTATCGTTAACTAAAATAGCTATAAACCTTACTCAATTTAATCATAAAAATTAAATACTACCTGCAAATGAATGAAAAAAATTGATTCGAGATTCTTGAACATGAATAATGCACCCAGAGAAGGAGAAAATAGACCATTGGTCCGCTTTTTCTCATTGCTAAAATGAAGTTCAAATCGAATCAAGACTCTGCCGCCTAATATGCACCAAAATAAGAAATGATTATAGAAGAAATTAAATGACTCATGAGAGTATATTGGGGCGAAACACTACCTATAAAAAATCTTTGCTCTTTTAATATCTCAGAAACGGTAAAGTATATTCATCAGAATTTAGTAGCTTCCGACAAAAAGATATTTACATTTAGTGGCGCAATAAACTATCTTTAAACAATTAGGACTTATAGTCAAGTCTAAACCTAGAGACAAACAAATTAGATGTAGTCTGTCGTATTTTGTGTAATCCAAGACAAATAAATTACGACCAAACAAAGTGACTAAAAGATTAAATATTTAATCAAGCTGTATCAAAAAGATAGAATTCCTCTTCTATTCTGGAAGGTTCCCAGCCTTCTTACGGCCAAACGATTAGCACCCTGAGGAAGGCGACAATAAATTGCCGAAAGCTTGGTAGCTAAAAAAGTTTGTCTTTTTCTTCACCACTGCCCTGAGCGAATTCCCAAGAAAATCAACTATCTTGCAATTATTCGATATCGGTCAAGAAATTGGAACTTATTAACTTAGACTCTGGAGAGTAGAATAAGAGCCAAAATATTTTTTAATTAAGACGGAGTAGGTACATTTAAGTAATACCAATTAGAGCTTGAGTCGTTTTTTTGCAAATCATATACCTTTAGTTTTATAGTTCCACTGTCGTGTAGCTTACCTGAAAAGAAAAATATATTATTACCTTGCAATTAATAGTACTGTAGATGTCACTGAGAAAAGTTTTGGTTTAGTCCCGTTTTGGGTTTACAAGCTAAAGGTTAACAATGACACCGTTTGAGCTTGCGCTACTAGCAAAACACTACTCTTTTTCTTTGCAGGTATAGATCGCGAATGCAATGTAAAATTAAATATTAGGTGACTGACATCTCGCAAACTGAAAATTTTTGTTGTAAAATATTTTTCATTGCAGACACACTGTTGCTCGATAGACCATATAATTTTTTTAAACCATTCAAAGAGCTAATTTTAGAACTTAAGTGACTAACAATATTTGTGCACCTTCCACAAGTAATACTTCCAAAATTAATCCATGTAAGTTGAACCCAGTTACAGGCAACCAACTACAGCTTTGTTCAATATATTTTACAAAATTAAAAAGACCTTCGAGCAAACAAATCTCGTAATTCAAAGAGGAGATTGTTTGGGTGTTCTTTAAAACGCAAAATATATTACATTGTGATTATGGCATCAATATTGTCTGTAAGAAAACCTCAAATAGGTAAAATTTCATAGAAAACACACACGCGCAACGAGAATATTGTGTGTTACAACCAAGCTATTTCTACTGAGAAGAACTGATAGTTGGTGAAGAAACTTTTATTTCCCTCTAAGGATCTGTTGATTTCTGCAGTCATACTGCAAGTAGTACTAATAATCAACCGTTTCGAGTTTAATATAGTGCAACACTAACGCAGTCATGAAACCCCATTTAAAAGTTTCGGGTTCATCTCCCTTAATTAGGAAACGAAAGCAAACTCCGTGCCAAGCAATAGTTTAAGGGCTAAAGCTCTACCGCTCTGTCAATGGTGCACACTTTGAAAATAAAACTTTCCTCTTTGGATAATGTAAATAAAGAAACAGTTTAAATTAAAAATGCTGCTGTGTAGTGAGGTTGGCCAACTTAAGTTGAGCAGGTCTACTATTAATTGTGCCGTAATACGCAAAACTCATATAATTAAAATACGAATTTGATAGACAGATATTCTGCTGCTTTGGATACTCAATTGATAAACTAAATTTGGAACGCTGGATTTTTCCTCAACGCAACAAATTCATATTTCCGACAGTAAAACATTTTTTAATTTGCTTTTTAGTTTATTTTGTTTATCGATTTACCTATGAAACTATAAACAAGGTGTTTTATTATTTTAAGTGATATTTTTCTGTACGCCCTAAAGAATTCCAGCCAATACGCCCAACATTATTCATTACAGAATTCAGGATCACTTGAAATGGTAATCAAAAGCTGCTGAAAACATTTAGTTTTTGGTCTCTACTAATTAAGATTGCTTTCGGTTTCATAAAAATGAGTATTGGTTTTTCTGTAAAGTAGTTAGTTGCCATCCTTTCCACTCCTAACTTCCTTTTGGTGGGCCTGCTGTAGAGGCCAATCGAAAATTGTTGCCTATGTATAATGTGCCAAAGAGGAGGTACTTTTATTTTAATCGTTTAATACCAAGCATTGGCAAAACAATTTTTAATTTATACACCAAGAAATCTAAGTACTTAAATTACAATAATTATTTCGATTAATCAATTATTCAGAACCTCTAAGGCTGATTTAAGGTTTAATTATTAACTACTTAGATTCAAACTTCGTTTACAAAAAACTAAACCAAATTTAAAAGTCATTTTGATTTTTGTAAAAATTGTAGTCTAATGTTTCATTTTGCTTCTACAAAATTACCTGTTCATTGTGATCGCCCTTAACGAATATTGCGTGTGCCGAATAGCTGTGTGGATTTTACGATTTTCGAGAAAAATATGGAAACATCGCTTCGATTTTAAATTCAATGATTTCAGCATCCAACTTTAATTTGTGCCTCGGGAATAAAATCCTCATGATTTGATGAGAATTATTTGATATGTCTATTACACTCCGAAAGGTGAAGAGAAACTGTACCCCTACTAACCAACCCTGGTTGGAAAACAATCAGGAACCGAATTGATTCGCATTGGGGGTCCATTACTCCGAAATCTACAGACGCCGTTGCTCCTTGTCTAATAGACTCCGCAGTTGCAATTTTGGCAAGAAATTGCAGCGAGCGTATTTTGGGTAAACACTGTTTAATTTTCTTCGTACCGCGTCTTTAATTGAAATCCTTTGTCTGGTTTTAAAATCATGCCGAATATCGGCTGATGTGGATTCGATTGTAGCACCGTACATTGGCTGCAATGCTCGAGAGAATCAATGCCGTAATTGCTTCGTTAATCCTAGATTTTCAGCGAGCGGTCGATATGAAAAACTCTAAGTAACATTGCCTTCTGTTGCATATTTAGATTTTTAAATTAATTGAGTGGATTAAGGATAACATAGGGATTAAATCCAAATTGCCACTAAAAATTATAGTAATTGGGAGACACCAAACTATAATTTAAAGAAATACTTATTGCTTTGCTCTTAAATTACAAAAGTTGCAAGAACAATTTCAGGCGTTTTGTGAAGAAATGAGAGAAGGAGTAAATTAAAAAAAAGGAGGTCTGTCAATTAGTCCGCCGTCGTACGAACTGACAGATCTCCAACCAATAGAAACACTTTCGTATCATCGTACCATCATACAAATGGATGCATGCGGCACGGAGTTAAAAGGTATAATTTCATGTGAGTTTAGTAGAATTGAGCAATACCGACCGGAATGTTCTAGTTTCTTATAGTATTTGTCGGTTAATTTTAGCGATCTCTTATATAATCAGTAAATCTGTGAATTAGAATCTTTTTGCAGACATATTCAATTTATCGTCTACCAAGCATGACGCCAATGTGAGATAGTTTGACAATTACACTCTAAACTTTATTTCGGGATTCTACAAAATGCGTCAAATGGTTATGTGTTCGTATTGCAGAATTTATGAATCTCAATGCATCTGTAACGCAAGTGCAATTTTTTCCAACTTGGTTAACTCAAGGGACGACCAACTCAGATATACTTAATTGATTTTATAGAGAATATACTGGGAATAAAACTAATGGGGTTTTCGGGTTTTTGTGCAGTCGTTCGGTAGAATTTCTTCTTGCCGTTTCGCATGCACGAGTTGCTTTCATATTCAGAAGTGGTTTGCTTGAACGCTTACACTGTTCTGATGCCATTCCTCGGGCGCAGTCCGTATTTATGCCCCGGTTGCGATCACGTAGTTTGTGATGATGTCGCCTGTATCATCGGAGCCTGCTCATTGCTCATGGTTGTTGCTATCCTCCGGTGTACTGGATTCACTCTCCTGTCCTTAGCTGTTGCTTTTTCTTGCTGTTTTTGCGTTGGTAAGTGCTGAAATACATATCCTGTTTAGCGCCATTGTCTTTTATTTTCTGTTGAAATTGTCGTCGTGTTTGTAGGTTTCAATGGCTTGTCGTATTAGTCGGGGGCGATACCCTGTTGTTGTGTCCACGACCTGAGCCTCTTCGAAATAGATGTTGTGTGTTCCATCGCTGAGAGCGTGTTCCGCCACTGCCGACTTTTTCACATGTCCCAGTTTACAATTCCGTCGGTGTTCTTCTATTATTGTCGCAACTGATCTCTTAGTAGTTCCTATGTAGACGCTTCCACAGGAGCATGGAGTCTGGTAGATTCCTGCAGTTGCGAGGGGGGTCTTCGGTCTTTAACTGACCCCAGACATTCTCGGATATTTGTTGTGGGGTTGTACACTGTTCTTATGTTGTGTTTCCTCAGGAGTCTCCCAATTCTTTCCGTAACCCTGGGAACAAAGGGCAGGAAAGCTTTCATAGTGGATTCACTTTTTTCGGTACGGCCCACTCCTGCAGATTTTTTGATGTCTAACTGGGAATATCGGTTCCGAAGAAAAGCTTTTTTCAAGTGCTGTAGTTCTGTGGCTAGATGTTGTGGTCGACATATTTTTCTGGCTCTATCCGTAAGTCTTAATGATTCCCTGCTTGTGACTCGTATGGTGGTTAGATAGCTTGTAAAGATATCTGTCTGTGTGGGTGGCTTTTCGATATACCTTGTGGTCGAAACGATTCCCTTGCCTAGACACCAAAACATCCAGGAAGGCCAGTTGGTGGTTTTGTTCAACTTCCATGGTGAATTAGATGTCTGGGTGCTGTTTGTTTAGATGGTCGCGTAGGTTTAAGGGGTGCGGTGCTCAATGCTGTTTCCTCAAACTTCTCCTTGAATAGATTTGCCACCACCGGACTGAGTGGGCTTCCCATGGCTACTCCTTCCTTTTGTTCGTAGTAATCTCAATTCCATAGGAAGTAGCTTCCCTTTAGACATGTCTTGAACATATGTGTTGTACTCTCTTCAAATAGCTCCGCCACCAATTCTATGGATTCGTCCACGGGTACCTTTATGAATAGAGATACAACATCGAAGCTGACCAGCATGTCCGTAAGTTCCAGTCTGAGGTCTTGAATCTTCTTAATGAAATGTTTGGAATCCTTGATGTATGTTTCTGTAGACCCCAAGTGTGGCTGCAGAAGAGAGGATCAATATTTTGCTATATCGTAAGTTGGTGATCCCGGGGCACTGACGATTGGTCTTAGTGGTATTCCTTCCCTGTGAATCTTCGGTAATCCATACAAACGTGGGGGGAGGGCTTCTAACCTAATGATTATCTTCATGATGTTCTCGTCTATTGAGGATATTTTGATCAGGCGGTTGATGTTCCTGAGCTTGGCTCCAGTCGGGTCTTTTTTGAGCTTTGTGTAAGTGACGTGGTCCAATAAGTTTTGGATTTTCTGCTCGTACTGCTCTTTGTTCATGACGGCTTTAGCGTTTCTTTTGTCGGCTGACAGGACGACAATGCTTGTGTTCCTTCGTATTTCCTTGAGGGCATGTTGTTCGCCTCTGCATAAGTTGCTTGGTGGTGGTTTCGCTTTCCGTAGGATTTGGGTGGTTTCCAGAAGAATTTCATTTGCCGTTTGTTCTGGGAGCCCTTGCAATGCTGTTTCGGTGTTCGATATGATTTCCTCTATTGGTATCGTTC